GAGTATTCCATTTACCTCTCTCAAGTGTTAAACATAAAACGAAGTTAAGAATTAACTGCCCATTAGGAGGGGCAGGTACCTGCAATAACACACTTATTATGGAACTACGCATGACACTCTTGCCCTTTGTTAGCGTTCGGTACAGGGTTTGAAAGACTGCCAATATTTTTTTCTGACAACAGTGCCTGTGATTGCAATCACCTGCGTTTACCGAATCCTTGCATGTATTGGTTGATCATCGAATATTCGAGAGTAACGATAAAAATGATCTTGCTAATTAATTTAAGAGTAATGCATTGCATTTAACAGGAACAAAAAGGAACTGCGCTATAAATTTATAGACATATGTATACGAGTTTTGTTTTTGACTTTTGAAATACCTTCGCAACAATCATACCTGTTCCGCAACGAAGGGCTATTTTCCTGAAGCGCATTAATAAGTGTTTTAATCAAATTTTGCATTAGTTAATATATTATGTATTTTTAATTTGTTTCAATTAAGGATATATATCATATATTTACTGTGATATTTATCTCCACTCCAGAAGAATTCCATACTCTGACGCGTGTATACTATCAGTTGCAATTCCGACTTACCTAATTGATAACACATTTGAAAGATATACAAGGATATGTACAGTTTCAGTTGTAATTGACGATGCAACCTTTACTACGCCCATTATCACTACAACTCGATAATGTCAGGTTTTTTTGTTCGCGTAGTGATACGTCAATTGAAAGTTTACATTTATTCCTCCGCTGAATAACATCCGTGAAAAAATCCTTTGTTTTTTGATTAACTTGCAAGAACATTCTGATTTTTCTCAGTTCTTCATAAAAATAATTTATATAATTTTAAGGACACTTATGTTTTAAATATAAAACACACACACATATATATATATATATATAAACATATATATAAACATATATATTAGAATTAATATAGTTTTCTTCGTGATATGATATCAGAGACGTTCAAATAATAGGGTGTTTTGGGGTTTCATTCTTTTTTCGGTCTGTAAAAATGTTTGAACTATTTCTATTGGCATTTAACTCTTAAGCCGATATAAAAGAACTTGAGAAAGATAACAAACAAGATAACTCGAGGAACGGGAACAAATACTCTGATCTCTGGTATTCTCGCCAAAAATTCAGTTTATCCGAGTTCAACTTTTCCCCCTGATAACCCTAACAAAATCAAAAGTTACCCCTTAATGCATGTATTGATAAGATAATATCGAACAATTTTTATTTTGTCAATTATACCAATAAAACATTAAAGATAAAATTCTAAATAGTTTATATATTTCAATATCAAAACTGATGCAGTTATATGCAAAGTGTATGCTTTTATTTTTTTTTGTTTGTTTTGGATTGGGAGGGGGGCAGGCAAGTATATTTACGACATTTTTCCAGGTAAAATAACAGTCAAATATCCCAATGTCATTAAATACACAAAATAACATCAAATCCTATTTTTGATTTCCTTCCACTTCCTTCATTTTAACATGATTCACAAACTAAAAATGAGTGCAAAATAGACTGGGAAAATCTCGCGGAAAATAAATAAAAATACGAAAAAATAAAGGAAATATTCTAAAAGAAAACAAAATACTCTATGGACGAAAATAGTTTCTTTGGGTTTGTTTTCTTTTATTTCAAAAAGGATGGGATACCAAGGGAAAATATTATTTAATCATTTCAACGCAAAAATTGCATATTGCTCTAACATAAGTTACGATATCCGGGATAATTTAAGGATATCATCAGATCGAACATTCAGTATTTGTTAGCGAGACAATAGAAATAGGAAGATGAACAAATATTCTTGAAAAAGGGACCAAAAGCATATAGCTTATTTATCACTTAAACGGATAATAGAGGGATTAGAAGTTTGTGTTTTATATATCAATTAAACGGATAACACAACATTTGAAGATTATAGCGTATGTATCCATTAAATGAATAATAAAGGGATTAGAAGCGTATACCATATGTATCAATTTTATGAATAATAGAGGGATTAGAAATATATGTTTTTATAAATAACAATATAAGAAAATTTCTTATAGCTTAAGTATCAAGTAAATGAATAAGTAATGGATTAAGAAATGTAACTGCTTATGTATCAAGAAAATGATTAATTTGTGAGATTAAAAGCGCTAACAGTTTATGTATATATTATATACTTACGGCTTCTCTATCAAATAAATAAATAATAAGGGATTAGAAAACAAGCTTACAACATTCAATGGATTTAAGATGGACTAAAAACGTTTCAAGTTATAAATCAATTAAATGGATAATATATGGATTAAACGGCCTGCATTTTATGTATCAATTATCGAAATGGATATTAAAGGGATACGAAATCAAACTGGAAAAAGAAAAGAAAAAAAGGAATGATAGCTTTTGGTCAGCCCTATATAACTCGCTGTACCTTAACGATAATCAATTTGATCCATTGGGAGATATTCGGGGCCAGTTTTCTTTTTTTTATGAACAATGGTTAGACTGCTGATTATATAACAAAAGTGTTTTTATGACATCTATGTCTGCTTAGTTATGTTTACATCATTGGTGTGGTCATCAGCAAGGTAAGGGACAAATACAGACAGGTATAGCCATCCATTGTCACAAGCTGTATTGGTTAAGCAGAGGTTTCATTTGTAGAATGAAAAAAGAACGTCCCTTGAAAGAATATATATATGTCCCATCGGCAACAGCAATAGCAACATCGTCTTGATTTGAAGCAAAAAATGTTTGGAAAAGACAGTTTTAAGGTTTTTGGTAAGATCATTTGTACTAATGTGCTGAGGACCTAGACGATGTGGAACACATGTAGACATCAATGCTTGTCTCGCGGAGTATATGCTTTTTCCACATAATCTTTTATGGACAAGGAAAAGGGAAGATAGAACAGATACAGACAATCCTGTCCTTAGTTTGACCAAAAGCAAGGCGATAACTATGATTAGAATAGTTGATTACACCGTTATTAAAAGCTCTGAGAACGGGTGTGGTTTTTTAAGGCTAGTCAGATGAGAGTAATCATCATCTCTCGGTCTGTCTGAAGATTCAAAGTCCAAAACTTTCTTGCATGGATGCAACCTGTCCTAAAATTCCAAAAGACTTTGAATCTCTGATGTTTCCATTTCAGTCGACTACCGAGTCGAAGAACATTCTAACAGACCTTCATCTTGGATTTCGCCATCAAGAAGAGGAGAGAAACGATTTCGGCTATTACATAAAATGTACCTGGAAGAAGTATGACAATTAACTGATTTGATAAATATGTTTGTTCGCATTTATTTTTATTTTTTTGTTGCGACCAGTTTGCTTTACAGATTAATCACTTCGTCTCTGAACAAAATGTCCGAGGTATTTCAAGTTTAATCTTTTTATGTTTAGATTGTTGTATAACATCGTTTGATTCGGAATCCGAGTGATGGTTTTGATGTAAACAAAAGTTTCCTTTGCATTTTTCTGTATACCACGTCACCTTCTTTGAGATTCTCATTGATATTTGATTGAAAATATGAAAGTTTATCCCTTTTTGCGTCAGGCACTTAATGGAACTTCAAAACGCCCCTCGAAGCATGCGCAGATACTCTCTTCTTGGCATTCTGTTTTACTATTTGTTAGAAAACATGTGAACATGTGAAAAATGAGGAAAATATGTTCAGAAATGACAGTACTTTTACTTCATGTCTCTAGTGAAAATGACAACCATTATACCTGGACAAATCAAAAGTATTGATATTAAATTCAAATGTTTAAAAACATTTTTGAAGAAGTAACAAACTATATAAGTGAGCGACTAAATTATGGCTAATGAATGAACGATGGACTGAATGAATAAGTCTTTTAATTGAGAGAGAGAGTAATTAAACGAATGGATTAGGTAGAATATAAGCTCTTCAGCCTCAGAGTATGATTTTGTTATTTGGCTGAACCCGATGTCACTATCCATGCATTCCACTAAAATTGCTAGGACTTCCAAACTATCAACGAATGTCTGAATGCCATGATTAATGTAAGTTTTATATTGTTATAATTGATAACATAGAAATATGCTTGAGAGTTGTGTCCCTTCAAACCATATTTAAATGATATGGAACCCAGTATGATTATGACAGTTCAAAAGTATCATTGTAAAAATATTCTTGTTGCTTTCGAATGTATATCATACCTCTAGCGACAAATAGTGTAAAACAAGTTTAAAGAAAACAAATGTACGTTTACCTGTGCCGTGTGTTCATAGAGACGTTAACATATATAAGATGCATATAGATTATTATTAAGATGATTACTTGTCAATGAATGTGTTCGATGAGAATATCGACAGGAAAATACACGCTCGATTAAAACAGCGGTTAAATGAGACATTCTACGTTAAAAAAAACCTATAACTATATATTAGAGATGCTAATTATTTACAATTTATTATTATGCATTCCTTGAAGGAAATATTGGTATCAAAAAGGAATGAAACAAAATCAGGTTAAGAAGGAAAACAGAAAGGTAGTCTGTCTATTGTGTTGCCCTACATGAATTTGATGGTTTATCAGAGATTACTAAAGCAATTACCTGTTACAGTGAGACGATAATTTAACAGAAATCGATGTTGATAGCGTTGATCTAACAGAAATTGATGTTGATAGCGTTGATCTAACAGAAATCGATGTTGATAGCGTTGAACTAACAGAAATCAATGTTGATAGTTTGATCTAACAGAAATCGATGTTGATAGCGTAGATCTAACATAAATCGATGTTGATAGCGTTGATCTAACAGAAATCGACGTGATAGCGTTGATCTAACAGAAATCGATGTTGATAGCGTTGATCTAACAGAAATCGATGTCGATAGCGTTGATGTATCAGAAATCGATGTTGATAGCGTTGATATATCAGAAATCAATGTTGATAGTTTGATCTAACAGAAAAGCGTGAAGTAGGTTACCATAGCACTGACAAATATTGTAATGTCCTTACCTTTTGGTCTGTGCGGAATCATACCGGAAACTGGAATGCTTAGAAGTGGATTGTACAATAGTCGCGTATCCAATGACTTCAAGTCGTTGAACCAATAAGTGAACTGAAAAGAAAAGGAAAATGATTAGATATTTTTGCCAAACCATAGCGTAAACTTTGATACATGGAATCGGTCACCAATCGTCAGCACAACACAATAACAAATTTAAAACCATTGTCAACACAAACAGATAAGTATGAAAACGAAAACGCAAATACAGGCTATACCTGTCTGTATTTGTCCCTTTCCTTGCTGATGACCACACCAATGATGTAAACATAACTAAGCAGACATAGATGTCATAAAAACACTTTTGTTATATAATCAGCAGTCTAACCATTGTTCATAAAAAAAAGAAAACTGGCCCCGAATATCTCCCAATGGATCAAAGGACATCAGAAACCGAGGAAATATCACAACAAGAACACAATTATGATGTGCCGAAGAAACTAGAAACTTAAACGAAGGAATATATGAAACATTGACAAAAATCAGGTACTAAAGAAACACCAAACAGGATTTAGAAACAGGAAAACAACAAAACAAGAATGCAAAAAATTAGTCAGACACTGGGGAAACACAAAAACAAATCAAAACCGAAATACAAAACGTAATTAACTATCTATCGCACCGACTATCACTCAGATAATAGATATAAAAACATAAAAAAAACAGTCTGATTGGCCGTTCGACGCTTAGCACTAGTAAGCTTCTAGACTAGCTGACGCAAACATCAATTAATATATCATTCCAAACAGTGGCATTATTTGTAAAAAGAGGACCAAGGGTAGTCTGTCTCGTTATTTTCAGTTCGTGTAGTTGACAATAAGTATATTAGTCTAACATCGTAATGTCGAGTTAGTGAGTTTGACATACTAGTATGTATTTGTAACCTCGAGGAGTCGAGTGAGAGCACTAGTCATATTAGAATATCAGGTAACCTCGTTTTGTCGAATAAGTGTGGTTGATAAAAAATAAAAGTGGGACCCCTTTATGTTGATTTGAGGGATTGGCATAATAGAATAAGTCAAACTTTGTTATATTGAGTTTGTGTTATTGATATATCAATTTATATATTCGGATGATATATAAAATATTTCCAGATAAATGGGATACCACGCATTATTGAGTATACTAGTTAAAATATACAAAATTCTTTGAAACAAACGGTGTACTTTCCCTTGAAATACTAGCAAACGGAACATTCGTACTTGATTTGAATAGAAAAAAAAGCCCTGATAACGATTTAAGAATCGTTAACGCTTTTTCCTAAGTTGTTTACAGAGCTGAAGTGTCGTATCACGTACTGTAACACACACGTGCCTTTTTGTCACACAACATGATCGGTGAGGGAAAATAACACGACAAAAAAATCCGGAAGTGTTTTTCGAACTGGTGTTTCTGTATCGCACCTTGCTGATACCGACACGGTGTCCCTCCAAACCAGACCGTTTGTGTATCTGATAACTTGCTGCACGCTATCAGGGAGGACACAGTTGGGCGGATAAGTACTATACCATTCAGCTACCACTGGTGCTACTGTTACAAAGTACTCACGGCTGGGATGTGTCAATGCAGGAGGTAAAGAGTGTGAACGCTATCATTAACAGTAGCTCCAGTAGCTCGTTATCATCTCATAGTTGCAGAAGCATTCGTTCTTCAGCCTTTTTACTTTTTTTTGGGGGGGGGGGGGGGGGGGGGGATGTCCGGTTTTAAAATAAAGGAAATTAAAATATAAATATTAGTGTAATGTACATTGTGAAAGTTTTAGGTAAACTTTTTTATTTAAGTTTAGATTAAGATAATTTTTTGATTCTGTCTATGAGTGTATAATCAGAACAATGTTCATTCCATTTTACTTTGACTGTACACTCTGACTGTACACAGACGATATACGAATCGTACATATGGACACATTTTCTCAGATACCATATATATTTGAGTATAAAAACAAAACACTTGTTATCAGCATCTGTGACATTGATTGACTTGGGTCAATGAGCTAAAGACCGCAAAAGCAATATTTCGGTGGAATACATCTGCCATGGTGTCACTCTGCCTCTGTTTACTCTCAGTCGGCATCCTCTGTGTTTGTTAGTATTGTTAACAGACTGTGTTTTTCGTTTCTAAAACTAGTGAATTTCAATCTCTTCACTGTGGAAACTACTACAAAATCAACATGCAGAACCCGCGGCGAAGTGAAATGTCGATCTAAATGACATGTTCCCTGTTAGCTTCCTTATCGCTGCCATATTTGTTTCCTGCTTAAGAAAAATATTTCATCGTTTCTTTTATACGATAATGTGATATGAAATTTCGTAAAACGTGGTGAAGAGTGCACAATGTTGGTATCCCAGACTTCAAAATGGCCGGTTGGCACGGCGTCCATATAACCATACTATCTGGTTTGACATCGTGTTATCTTGGGAGATAAGACTTCCCGAATCATTTAAGTGGAGGTATGCTTCAGAGAAAGAAAAGTTGGTGTAGAATACCTTGCCATGTTACATTGGGTGCTGTCTACAATCGTCCTTGGAAGACGTTTCCTTACCGTGGCTATAAATCATCCACTTAAAGAAGACTTGGTTGTGTGGAATGCAGTAGGCCCCAGCAACAGGTGTGCGCCAATTAGGCCCAGTGCCCAGCTCATTTGTCGTTATACTGTACTTGACCATGACGTTATACAAACAGAGAGTTTGATCGTCGAATTAGATATTTAGCGGTAGTGTCTCACAATTCTGTGTATTTTTTTACAAAGCTTAGACGAGTATTAATATATAAAGTTTCTTTATTTGAATATGAATTAATAAAACTTTATACCCTTCCCCTACCTTCCACCCCGCACCAAATCTGGGTTATTTTAAATTCTTATCATTATTTCTGATTCGTCAAATCATGACAATAGAAAGGGCAATGCTACTTCCAACATGAATAGAGAACAGTTAGTTTTGCATATTTATTTATTTCTCTTTCAAATGAAATTTTGATGATTGACAAAGCTTTAAAAAATGAAATTATATACATACCTATTAGAGTTAGCTAACTAACTCATGTAGTGAATGCATTCCTTTAACTATTAATACTAATACTAATATTTCTAGGTCCTTCACGTATTTAAATTTATATGCATTTTGTATGCAGTTCTATTATAATAAGCTCACAGTATATCCATGTTGCACATACATTTGTTATACTATACATCCTTTCTTCACGTAATTTCGAAAGGACTATTCTGAAACGAAATGAATATTATTAATGGTTATTGACGCTCAGCTCAATTTTTCTGGTAGTTTTCTTCGAGATTGTATTTCCATCAATCTATTCGCGAGAATTAAAATCCGCTTTAGTAACAAATACCGATACATGTCCCTTGTTTAATTTTGCTAGAATTAATATTCGCTCAAGATATTTTATTTGACTATATGTATTCAGTGTTATCTAATAGCGATGTAACTAGGTTGTAGGGGGTGGGGGGATTGAACATCGCTAACGAGCACCATCCACCTGGCCTGGGTTGTGAATTCGTTAACCTTGTAAGACCAGGAAGGAATGTTCCCATATGCCATAGAAATGACAAGGATCGCCAATATTTGACCTTCTGTAACGGTTTTTGTTACAGTAGACGTGTTCTTGGTTCACGCACTTGCAAACCAGCGTAATTTTCTACTTAATTAAGTCCTGCATTTTGGAATCACTTTGGATCCATGCTTAAGTGCATGGGGATTTGGGTGTGCGCTCCACTGCACAGACTAAGACTGGAAGTGTCAAACTCAATAGTCTCCCTGGTTTGTCTTCGGCAGCTCACTCCCATGGTGCACCGGTTTGTCTTCACCAGAAATCGCTCTCTTGTTGATTGCATACTAGCGTGAAGTCTGGCCCTATTCCATTATTTCAATATAGACGTCAATTTCCAACCAATCAAACATTCGTGATTCTGGCAATGTATTTTTCGATTACTCCATCAGGAGACTTATCAAACATTGAATACGTAACAGATGATATTTTCTCTCTAGAATCTAAAGTGGAATCTTGCAATTCATTGTTTTTAACAAGAAAACGGTTTTGGAATTGTAATTCTCCGGATTAATTTAACAGTAATCATGATTTAAGGACGTATGCTACATAACTATAAAGCACACATCCTTTCAAAACAAATTCTACATTATCAACCATTCAAGAAATATTTTGTATGTGTTGTAATATTGATGTTAATTCATTATCGGATGGTATACATGTATTAAAAGATAAATCTCAAATGCAAGGAACATGTAATATCAGTGAAGGCTAAATATGATGCAAAGCACAGGTATAATGTGTAAGTAGGAAACTGGCTCAACACAGTACAATTGTATAACTTGTCAGGAAACAAATAGCATTTAAAAGAGAAAAGAATATATTACTAAATACATTCAGAACTTTTCGAATGAGTTACTGTCGGTTTAATCTTAAACCTTTTCGTTCTATATTTTACATACTTTACGATGAGTCATTATTGCTAATGTCTAAGAAAATCTCCATGTTGCTCTTAAAAACACACACAAAAGTCGAATTATGTATCACCAGTGACTAATGACCAGGTTCTCTCTCTATTTAGAAAGAAAACATATTTAAGACAGGGTTCGAGAAACACGTGGTTATTTATATCCGCAGGTATACGTTTTTACTATTGCAGCAGCATTCTTACATGGAGGTTTTATACCATGACTGTAAATTGACGGAATTTGAGAAGAGCTTATTTTCTTTGAACGTTGTCGCGTTTTATCTCGCTGGGTCATAGTATCAGGCAGGTTGAGGAAAAGTCAGTGTAAAGCCATCAGCGGAGATCGAACACCTAATTACATCGCGGCTACTGTTGTTGTTGGCGCGCTCTGATCGTCCAACACTGGTCATATTCTCTGGTTAGACACATATGTACGTACTGTGGTAATAATGCAAAGGTTTCTACGACTTCCAATTAAGATAAGGGTATTTTGTTACAGTTGTTTGCTACCATTGAACTGGTTTAAAAGGGTACAACTCCATAATTTTGTATACCGACAAGCTAGCACTTCTTCAAAGATGAT